CGAGTCCTCACTAATAACCTTATGACCTACGCTTTATTATCAAGCTCTCTTTCTGGACTAGGATTCCCTGGCTTTAAGTCAAAAGGTTGGTAGTTCAAGGTCACCCAGGGGCACCTTGGAAGAAAGGCCTGACGAGTTATTCTGGGTGGGGAAACACAGACACTGAAAATCCTAGGTGCAAAGTTCTACTCGACACACCCGGTTGTCATGGGTCAGAGCGGACAGGAGGCTGGCTGGCCTAACCCAGCTGGGCATCCACGCTTCAAACGGTGCAGACATTCATTCACGGCCACGAAAGAGCAGAGAAAGAGTTCAAACCCGGCCTGCTGCTCAGAAGGATGGACCAGGGAAGCATCGGGCCTCCCAGAGGAGGCAAGGGGTAGCGCTGGGAGGCCGTCAGCTGCCCCCAAGCCTGCGATCAGCGAGAGCAGGAAGGGTCCTGGGCCTGGTGCTGGAAGGGCAAGCAGTCTTGCTGACTATGCAGTTCTTCCAGTCAACCACAGAGAGGGAGCCCAGCCGCTTGCAATAACAGTGACGAATACAGAAACCCACCCCTCCGGGTTGGCCATTCCCAGGCTCCAAAGTTAGCCCTAGCCCTCAGAGCACAGGGAGTTCAAGGGCAGAGCAGCAGGCTGCCCAGCCCCCACTGGCTGAGTGCCGAGCCATGCTCTTCCTTCCAAACACACGACTTGAAAGTTAAAAAGATGCCCCTCGGTTGTCACGGCAACGCCAGAGAGACAAAACAGTTTAACCAGCTCTGACGCACACACGCAAATTTGAGGGACAAGGGGACAGATTTGGAGGGGGGGGAGAGAGTCAGAGGGGTGGGGGTGCTGCTTCTAGAACTTAGTCCCGAAGGCTTCGAGGTCGGACTGAAACAGGCAGTGGAGGCGAGCTGCGGTCAGGCTTGCTCCAGGAGAGGGACATCACGACTGGTCAGTCCCATTGGACAAAGCCCAAAAGCTAGGAGCTGGGAGCCACCGCCAATGGGGCTGATAGAAAGGCCTGGCTCCTGGCTTGGCTGTCCCTGGGCAAAGCTCTCCACCACCCGGTGCCTCAGCTTCCTGCGCTGAAAGATTGGCCTTCCAGCTACAGGAGTAGACGATGAAGGGTACTTTTCTCTACGAAATTTTGTTCTGGAGCCTGCAGGGGGTCGTTCCCAAGATGGAGCACCTGAGCGGGAGGGGGATGACACAGAATGCAGAGACTTGTCCCAGGTCGTAACAGACCTCGAAGGCTATCAAGTCTGCCAGAGTCTGGGATTTCTTATGATGGCTGGCTCATCCCAGGGCACCCTGGGGCCAAGCCAGGACACTGCTTACAGGGCAAAAGAGCCTCACCAGACTTCACTCGTGGTAATTCCACAGGGTCAGTGAGTCCATGCTTACAAAGCCTTCTTCCACAGCATCCACGCCCTCCCCAGGGACATGGAGTCTGCAGCCTAGGTTGTCTCAGCTTGGAGTTTCTTCCACGCACCGTCCCCTTGAGACAACAAGCTCGCTTGCCTTTCAAGACTCGCCCTCTGAAGTTATTCTTAAGCCTCCTCTTGCCCTGGGAGGAGACTGGCCAACAGTGTGCCCTGCCAAGACGTCTGGCATAGCGGTTTCAATGTTTTATTGCTCTGGCTGTGCTCTGATGTCTTGCCCATTTGTTTACCACTTGGCCTAGCCCAGGGCCTGGCATGAACAAGCACTCGGTGAATGTTTGCTGAGGGACTGGCTGAAGGCACGCAAGGCCATGGCCATAGCGCTGCTGCTCCGCTGCCTCGAGCGCTCCGCACACACTCCGCCAGGGTCTGGGTTGGCTTGCCCATTCTCTGGGGAGAGAGTGGGGTCTGCAACAGAGTCTGCAGTGCAGGGAGTGGAGATCGCAGGGGCAGGGAGAGGAGGCCCCAGCTCTCTTGCCTGTGTGCACAGTTAGGAGGGAGAAGGCGGGTATGAAGGGGTGTGGGGAAGATTTGCATTTCCTGCCAAGTTGGCTCCTTATGGTGACTCCACAATGCTTCCCTGGCCACCTGAGGATTAGCCGGTGAAATGAACTCGTCCCTGGGTACCTATAGCAGCCCCCCCCGCACTCCTGTTCTGACAGGAAATGGCTTTTCTTTGCCTCCACTGGTAAAAGCTCTGAAAATGAGTGCTTGCTGTGCCCACATCCCAAGGGAGGGCTGTGGAGATGTTCAGGGCATCAGAATTCCCCGTGCAATCCAAGGCAGCTCCCAAGTCCTCATTTCATTGTGGGCACCGTCTTCCTTCTGTGTGATGCTCTCCGTGTGCCTTTCCAAATGGTCTCCTCTCCAAACAGGCACTATTTAGAAACCCCTCCAGCCCCCACCCAACCACCACTACATCTCTGTCACTGGATGCCCTTTGTCAAGCCTCATTTGGAGGTCAACGTTCTAGAACTCTAGACACAGCTGCGCTGTATCCCCCAAGTTACACGTCCCCTGAGCAGAAATGCTTTCCCTCTGAATACACTCACAGGCACGTGCACACGTCCCCCCACACATGTCCTTCTGGCGAGAGCACTGTCCACACGGCTCTATGGCTGTGGTGGGCTCTGCCTTCAGGAGCCTTTGCTTGCTTTGTGACTTAGGAGAAGGGGCAAGGATTCTACTGTCCTTTTCAGCATCTCGCTCATTTCCTACAGAACCTGACCATGGTGGACGTTCTCAGGACGCTTGTTCTGGACTCCTCTGTGGCGTGTTGAACTCTGCTACATTTACCACAAGCCTGTGTCCACCTCTACACTGGAGCTAATTACCACCGACAATTATAGGGATTTATATTTCTGGATTTAAAAAGAATCCCCCCCACCAGTTGAAAAACAAACAATACTCCTACAGCTAAAAGGGTGATGGGGAAACCACAACCTGGCTTGGATGCAATGATAGTATTTACAAGGAACGAATGTGCATATGGAACTAACTTTGCACAAAAGAATCCACGGTGACATCACTTTATATGCTTTGAAACAGACTGTAGCAACAAGTAACACCCCCAACAGACGGTACAGAAGCCACAAAGGGAGAACCGGGTCCGACCCATTCAGACGTCTGCTCGAGACAAGTGCCTCCGTGCATTCTGATACATCGCTTTCACGGGAAGCTCTGACGACACAGGTAACGTGTTTGCCTCCAAACGAAGTCTTGGATCGTCCGGTTCTTCTCAATTAGTAGCACACTGGACAGCTGCAGGAGCGCTAGTAAAAATAGCAGCCAGCCTCATCTGAAAGCCAGGGCAGCCAGGAGAGGTCAGCCCGGGGACTTTCCAACAAGGAGCGAAGGAGATGTTGTTCTCAGGACCCAAGAGGAAGAAGCAACCGCCCAGGGGAACAAACCAACAAAAGCAGTGTGCTCCGGTCGGCAGGTCACCTGGAAAGCGACTGTCCGTCCACGGCCCGACATCATCCTCCCTCCTTCCCTCCCTCTGGGGAATAAAATGGGTTTGTGTGTGAAAAACAAAACCAAAAAAGCAACCCAGAACAAAAATGCTACTGAAAAGGCTCCAACCTGTCCACTCCTGAGGAGAAGCAACTCCAAAAATGAGACACAGTTAAGTCCGCAGCCTGCCAATCACGGTACAGTGTTCTAGGATGTGAGGTATCACACTGTATCTAATCAAGGAGGGCTGGGGCCTTAGAGAGACAATCTATGTCCCTTTTTCTTTCTTTTAATTAAACATTTTTTTATTAGAAAAGTATATACCTTTTTCTTTTTTCTTTTAATTAAAAGATCATTTTATTAGGGACTCTTACAGCTCTTATAACAATTCATACATCAATTGTATCAAGCATATATATATATATATATATATTTCCATCATTACTTTCTAAACATTTACTTTCTATTTGAGCCCTTGCTATCAGCTCTTCTTTTTTCCCTCTCCCACCTCGTGACCCACCTTTTTCTTTTTTTTAAAAAACTTCTGGAAGCAAATTAATGTCTAGTAAGAAAAGGAGCCCCAGGGGAAAAAACAAATTTATAAATTACCATGGGTTCAAGAGGGCGGGAGTGGAAGGGTGGGAGTGGGTGGGGATGGGGAATGGGGGATGAGCTTGTACCAAGGGCTCAAGTAGAAAGAAAATGTTTTGAAAATGGTGATGGCAACATATGTACAAATGTGCTTGACACAATGGATAGATGTATGGATTGTGATAAGAGCTGTAAGAGCCCCCAATAAAATAATTTTTTAAAAAAGAAAAGGGGCCCTTATGTTGCCCCTTCATATTTTAAACAGGTATCAGGACCGTCTGAACAAGATGCCCCCAGGACACATGCCTCATGCCCTGACTCACTCGTACAAAGTGTTTTGAATGAAAAACCAAGTGTGGAGGGCAGTATCACTCAACGTTTTCTGAGCTCAACATTGATCATGAACTTTCATTCAGAGATTACATGCAGGGCACGAAACAAGAACAGACTAGATTAAAACCACCCATTTCTATGTGTATTTTTTTCACAGAGCTTTAAAAACCAGAGCTTAAAAATGAAAAATGCATCGCAGCAGACAGCAGACCCTTTGTCAAGGTGTTGCTGACAAAGTCAGCATTTGACTAGCCAGCTCCTGATTTCCTGTCGCTCTAACGTCCAGGGAGTAAATGCCATCACTTCATCCGAGTCTCAGCACCACCCAGACACAAGGGACAGTTTCGGGTCTTGGAGGAGTCAGATGAACCAGAACCGTCCAAGTCCTAAACCTGTGTCTGTCTGCACAGTTTTGCACCATCTGTTTTCTAAGAGTAAGGACATTTCTTTTTGGCTGTCTCACAGGTTTACGTAAAAATCAAGGGGAAAAAAAAAAATCAAGGGCATTCCCCACCCCTACCCCCTGCCCCCAAATAAATACCAACAAATGTCAGGGGGCCGCGGCTACTTGGAGATGGAGGTTGGTTGGTCATGTAATCCCCTGGAGCCAAGCTTTGGGTGTGAACGGTTGCCAAACGGTCAATGCCCTTCAGAGAGCGGTCTGGCCACACTCCCGCGTTCCCTGTGCAACACTCACCATTTGCGATCTGTTCTTGGGACAGCCATTGATGTCTTCAATCTTCTCGTTTGCTGAAAAAGGAAACGCAAGTCAGACAAAGCAATCACCACCAGGGACACACTTGGAATCAGGACCTCCAGAACTCTGGAGGGCACTCATGTCCGAAAGTCCCTCCTGGGGAGAGTCCAACCGTGGCAGGCATGTGGAACTCTGAAGCACATTCTTGCAAGCTTCAGGCCTTACTCATCACAACGGCCATCCTCCGGGGACAGCTGGGCCAAGGCCGTCATCTCTAAAACAGGGACAACTGCACTGACAGCAGTTTTGGAGTGAGGGGCCATCGGGGAGAGCTTCAGAGCCTGGGGAATCTCGGGAACAATGACTTGGCGTTCAGCTCTTAGAAAGGTAGATCCAAAATGCAACCTCCCCACAAGAGATACAATGGCTCAGAGTGGAGAGCGGGCCAAAGCCACGAGATAGCCTCCCATGCCATCTTGAGCCAGAAATGCTAAACAATATTGCTCGTTTGTCCGGACACTCTTCCCAAGCGTGGCAGCAGAAGGGGAAGCCTTAGAAACGGCTCGTCCAAAGGCCACGGAGTCGGTGCAAATGAGACCTGGAGCCCATGCACTTGAACTCATAAATAGCACCTGGTCACTTACAGGAGTGACAGAGGAGCTTACATGGAATTAGCTGGAGATTCAGGCCGGTGGCAGGGAGGAGAGGCCCCGCTTCCCCTGGGGAACATACTTTCTCAGGATGGTGGGAGAGCCCCTGGCAAAACACAGCCAGGACACCCAGGAGAGGCTGGGTTTGAGAATGCCCCACAAAGGCAGGGTGTGTGGTGTGGAGACAGAGGCAGCCATGTGTGGATCCCCGCCTCATGCAGCGTCGGGCCGTGTGATCGTGGGCATGTAATGGCACCTCTCTGTGTCAGTCTACTCATCTATAAAATGGGGCTAACTCTACCTATTTCATAGAAAGAGCTGTAAGAATCAGAGGGCCTGGTGCTGGGGAGACGCTCAGCAGACAGTTTAAGTGTTCCTTAAATGGTAAGCACTGGTTACTGCAGTCAACTCCAGGTGTGGCAGAGTAGAACTATGCTCCAGGGGAGGGGTTTCAATGGCTGATTTTCAGGCGTGAATCACCAGGCCTTTTTTCAAAGGAGTCTTTAGGATAAGGTGACCAGATTTTAACATTGGTAAAGCATGACACCATTGATAAAACTCATATCCTGGCGAAATAGCCACATGGCAGCCGAAAACCCTAGCTTGTCGTGCATTCTTTCCAAAAATCGGGATTTTTTAAAAACGCCGCGGACATCTGGTCACCTTACTTTGGGAAGACTTAAACATCCAACCTTTTGATTAGCAGCAGCTAAGCACTCTGTTTCCACTGTTCAGGGATTCCCTAGTTATTGTTACAGTACTGTCAGAGATGCATTCGTCTGCTACCTGCCAGGCCCAGGTTCAAACCCCCCAGCCACTCTGTGGGAGAAAGATGAGGCTGTGTGCTCCGACTAAGATTTACTGCTGTGGAAACCCCAGGCGGGGTTACCAGGAGTCAGAATGGACTTGGTAGAATGTGCTTGGGAGTTTTCGCGTAATCATCAATCCTATGATGTACAGGCTTATCAAACATGCAAGATATGATTTTAATTTTTATGTCTTCCTACCCATCCACTGCCATCCAATCAATTCTGACTCATATATGTAACCCATATACAGTTTCTGAGGCCATAAATCTTTGAGGGCACAGAGCCTCATTTTTCTCCCAAAGAGCCGCTGATGGGCTCGAACTGATCATCTTGTGGTTAGCAGCCCAATGTGAAACCTAGCAGGCTAACAGGATTTAAACATTTTTTTCATATACACTAGTCTTTAAGTAGGTCAAGCCCTAAAATTATTCCAGGTTCCTCAAGCACAACACTAAGGATTGTCTCCTCTGTGGACTCGTTATAAATGCCCTCCAACGGCCCACCCCCCAGAAAGATAAGGCTCTCAGGCCCCTGCTCTCACAACATCCTGGGCCACCTCTGTTTGCACTTACACTGTCTGCTACGAACGCTCTTCTTCTCTCCAAACTGTGCTGTGAGACGCTTGCAGACAAGTAGGTTTCCTTTTCCTACGTGTCTTGTTAGGGCTCAGAAAGTGCTTGTGAATTGAGTTCCATGTATGTATGTATATTCGTGTGTGTGTGTGTGTGTGTGTGTGTGTGTGTGTGTGTGTGTGTGTATCTCCAGCTTTTAATGAATTTGACGCCTGGAAGTTCCATAAAGGGAAAAGATATTAAAAACTCTCTGATAACATTAAATGAATCAAAGTATCCCCAGCCTCTAGGATTTGGAAATTCCTGGAACCTAAATGCAGCACACCACTAACTTAGCAGGATTTATTAATTTACCTTTCTACAGCATTTCTACCTGAAAAGAAAAATGAAAAGAAATCAAGCTTGTAGCAGGCAATTGTTTTAAAATACAATCACCTTGAGACAGCTGGGTTAGTGAATGCTCAGTCTAATCGAATCAGGCTTAAGGCCCACCTGTGAAAAATTAAATTGTCTGCTACGACAAGAACACTGGGATAGGTATTTTCAAATGGTTTCACCTGTCCCCCTCAGCCCTCCAGCCCCAGGATACCGATTGCTATTGTTAACTGCCATTGGATTGACCACAACTCATGAAAACCTCATGCCCAATGGGATCAGACCATTGTGATCTGCAGGGGTTTCAATGACTGATTTTCAGAAGTAAATCACCAGGCCCTTCCCTGCTGGTCTATCTGAGTCTGGAAGCTCTGCTAATGTTCAGTATCATAGCAACAGGTAAGCCTCGCCTCACAGGCAGACTGACTGGGAATTGAACCTGGGTCTCCTGGATGGAAGACAAGAATGCTGCCACTAAACGACCAAGGTATTTTGAAGCCTTTAAAATGCACATCAGAGGCGCTCAATACATGGGATATCCCAGGGATATGTATTCCTAAGCTCGTCAGAAAATACAAAAAGGCTTCCCAAAGTCTGGAAAACGGGATAGAAAGATAAAGGACTTTTCCCCATGAGCATCATGAAGCCCCTTGTACAATGAGCCAGAACAGAATGCTCCTGGTGCGTAAACCCCACAAAAACAGGACTGCTTGTCTGCTCTGTTCTCTACAGTCAGAGGTCAGGCCAATACTCACACCAAGAAAGACGAGGGAACTTTAAAAAGTTTGTGGAAAACGGTCAGCATCTTTTCATCCATTTTTCCACTTCCTGAGGCAGAAGGATTCTGAGGGGTATCGATCTAAGCATTCAATGAAGGAAACTTGACCGTCTGTCTGAGCCGCTGGTCCTTCTCTTAAAGACCCTTGGTGGCATCGCGGCTGCCTGTTAGTCTGCTCACCACAAGATCAGGAGCTTGATCTGCCAGCAGCTCCTATAAAAATGGTCAGCCTAGGAAATCCGAGGGAGTTCTACCCTGCCCTATGGGTCCCTCTGTGTTGGAACTGACTCTGTGGCAGCTGGCTTGTTTGTTTGGTCTTTCGCTCGCAAATCTAGACGTGTCTACTGCAAAGGCCCTTGAAGAATGGCGCTCCTCCGCAGCCAGGGAATGATGGCAGGCACGAACGTTGACCTTGGATTTTGAGGGTTGATCTTGGAGAGCACACGGTTTTGGATATCAATTTCCAATTGGATAGTCCTGACAGTCAAAGCCGTAAGTCAATGGATTCTGATCAATAGCCAGCTCAGCAGCTGGTCATGAGTCCTCATTACAGCGAAGGGTGGATAACTGCGTTCTTAAGAAGTCACCTGGGAAATTTTAAAGATTCTCTATCTGTCATCTGGATAAATGGAAGCAGAAGACGTGGCCTAATTGCTCCTCTGATGGCAACGAGATCTTTTCATGAGCAGTTACCCAAACCACTGCCAGGAAATGCTTGCCTTCACATGTCACAGCTCCTAGAAGCCCAATGCAACCATTTCACCTCGTCCAAGGTCAGGGGGGTGGAGCCTATGTATGTGGCTCGAACTGTTAGAGTCTAACAGGTACACCCATGAGGAGAGATCCATCAAATCACTGGGCCCAAACTCAGAACCAGTGCTGAATCCGTGCCATTTAAATACTCCTCCCCGGTACTGTAGTGGTTAGTGTGACACTGCTAACCTCACAGCGAGCAGTTCAACACCACCAGCCACTCCAGGAGAGAAAGGCAAAGCTCTCTACTCCCATGAAGAGCTGCAGTCTCAGACACCCACAGGGCAGTCTACCCTGTTGGAATCGACCAGGTGACAGTGAGTGGAGGAGTTGACTTCCTTTACTTGGCTTCCCAAGCTATGGTTGTCTTGATGCTGCTGCAGGTCAGATTCTGCTGACGAAAAAAGAATTGGTCTGGAGAGCTAAATGTAGTGCCTTAGAGCAATGGTTCTCAACCTGTGGGTTGCGACCCCTTTGGGGGTCCAATGACCCCCTCCCAGGGGTCACACGATTCATAACAGTAGCAAAATTATAGTGATGAAGTAGCAACAAAAATAATTTCATGGTTGGGGGGGGCGGGTCACCACAACATGAGGAACTGTATCAAAGGGTCACAGCATTAGGAAGGTTGAGAACCCATGCCTTAGAGAGTGTATGTGTGTTCTGGAGGATGGGGGTGCATGCTGGCTGAATCCCAAAAGCAAATAGTTAAAGAAAAGGCATTTGTCTCCAAGGTCTTCCGCTTTGATTAAAATCTGTGCATCACTAGGTGCCGATCATAATTTATGTATCCCAGAGAGCATGAGACATTCTAACTGGAGGGGACCTATTCGACAAGTTGGTGATTGAAGGGCACCAAGGGCCTTTTTAAAATGCAAACAGTGGCATCAGGCTCATGACTTTTGCAATGAGCTCTTCGGAAGGGCTCCCGGCCTCTGCAGACCCCGTCACTTCACACGCTGGCAGTTGTCTGCGCAGGCGCAGCCATAGGCTGCCTCAGCTCCCTTTCTCTGCACTAGGGAACCTTTTCCTCTCCTCTTCTCTCCCATCCTCTTGTTCTGGCCTGTCTGGGTTCCTCGCTTGGCTTTCCTTGCCCCCTCTTTCTCCCTTCTCTCT